ATACTGACCAGTATATTAATTTAACACTGTTAATTATCACTATTATAATTATAAATTACATAACTATTTCACAACTATTATATCTATCTAACCTAAGAGGTTGTCTGGGATTTCATCAGCAAAAAACCGCAAAACGAAATAATCGAAAAATTCCACTCAGTCGAATGGGTTATATATTGAGTATCGCAGATTGTTTTTGTTAAGTTTTTGTAAGTCAAATCTTTACAATTTGACTTCAAATAAATTTACGAATTTTACTTGTTTTTAAAATTTTATTTTTAACCCATAAAACGTGATAATTATGAAACTAAGTACATATTACATTATCCAGGGTCACGATTGGTTTTAGAAATTATTTAGTTACTACAGGTCCTACATTTATCAAAAAGATTATGCAAAATGTTTAACTAAGCAAATCTCAAATGACAAATTAACGTATACTACATTATATTTAGAAGTATCATCAACTATAACAGTACTAGAAACTAGAGGATACATTTGTTTCATACAAAACCATATGATTTTCTTATTAAACACTCATGGAACCTATTTGAATACAAATATTATTACATATATCCATTTCGATGGAATGTTATTTCAGTGATTCAAAGCAATGGCAATACGGTATGTTATATAGTCAGTGTTAAAATACGAATACAGTGGAGTCCCGCAAACTTGGCGTAATGTGGACTGGAGGGGTGCCGAGTTTGTGAAATGCGGGGTTATCGGGTTAAAAATAAGAAGAATAAATTTGTTTTATTTATGTTTCTATTACAAGTCGGATATAGTACAACAAATTCTTGATACGAGTTACGAATGATTTGACTTGAGGTGGCTTGAGTCCATGTTTAACTCGGACTAAAAAAAATACTAATTTTCTGAGCCAGGTGAATAAAAATAATGACCGAGTTACATTTTAGTTTAAAAAAACACTACAAAGTTCATTTAAATTCTGTGGTGCCAACGATTAAAACTATGGGAAAAGCTTATAGTTATGGACAATATCTATAGTTTGTAGTAAATGAAATATTGCCTGTCTCTCTACCATCATTAATTGGATCAACTAAACAGGAATTTCACATTGAGATAGCTACAGTAAATATAAAGCTTCGTAGTCATACCATTGTGGCTTTTCCTCATGTCCTATCTTCTTGGTGTGGCGCAAATATTGTCATAGAAGTAAATTATTTATTTATTCGCCTGTGTGTGTGCGGTGAAAAACAAAATGTTTGATAACAATTGCCTACCCTCTCATATTAAATTATGAAGAAAGTGCACAGTTATATACCCTAAGTAAGTATCTACCCTAAGTGAGAAACATTTAGTCGTCAAACCGCTTAAGCATTACCTGACTTATAACATATTCTCAGGGTTTTCAATAAAATAATAAGCTTCCTGGCAATATCAAAAGTAGACATTAACAATGCAAGTCGTACATACGTGAATAAACACACTGGTTCATACTGCCATAATTACATGATATACTCGGTTCAGAAAATATAAGCGGTTGTAGAAGTAATTCCATCCACCCTACTTTACCTTACCTTTAAAACAGCAGCTGGACATACATTTAAACTGGTATAGCCGGTATGGGATTGATACGTTCAAAACAACAATCATCTGTATCATAAATTAAGAAAACAAGTGGTTGGGGATAGTTACGGGTTAGGTTAGGTAATGTTAGTTTAGGTTAAGTTATGTTATGTAAGGTTACCAAAGTTTTTTAGGTTAGGTTCGGTAGGAGTTATCTTTATTCATTCACAGCTTATTTTGGGGGAAAGGTTACATGCTAGGTTTGTTTCCTTACGTAATGTAAGTAAAACGAAACTTAGATTTTTATTATATTGACGATTACTTACATCACGATTGCACAAAGGGAATTTCAATACTCCCAAATGCGGGGTATGGTTGAACCCTCAAAATTCGGACCAAAATAATACGTGTCTAGTGAACGTTTTGTGGTGGTGGTGGTGAGTGAGTGTGTGTGTGTGTACGTAGACCAGTTCTCCTTGCCCGTGCTCCAGTTTTGATCAGTGAAAGTTCCTTTGCAGCCTCTGGCAACGCCACGCCAACATAGAAAGTGAACGGGAGTGAACTGTTTTGAACTGTTCTACGGATCAAAATCTTGAAGGACAGTTTGTAAAAAGTATATCATTTAAATGAGTAGTGGTTATATGGATAATCCATTAATAATCTATAGTTATACGAGGATAAATTATAGTTAGGATAGAAATAAAGGCTGAAGAGGCTCAGAAACCCAAACAACTCTCTAAGACTTATCTTCTGAAAACTCACGATCACGTCATAGTTTTAGTTGAATCGTGAACTGGTAAGATGAAGGGGTTAGTGAAGGTTTATTCAATGCAGCTAGTAAAAGCTCCTCCAATCGACAACCTATCAAAAGTGCCTCATGCATAAATATACCTCAAACAACTCTTTAATTGTACGAGTGTTTTACAAATATACTAAGTTGACTATACTTTAATAACAAGTATGCCGAAAATACAAAAAATCTCCAACCATAAAATTCTTTATTTTATTTATTTGAGCCTTAGTCACTTCAATTGCCTGTACCTCAATATTAATTTTATTTTCATATATATGTTCTCCAGTACAGTATTTAGTGCGGCGTAGACAGGTGGGTTGGTAAGCCTGTGGCGCGACATTTCAAGGAGGGCCGGTGGCAAATGTCAACAGATTCATCGATTATACCGCCTCCACTTCTACTTTTTACCTCCTATATTACCATATCTGACTCGTTTAGTAGTTCCTCGTCTCACTGAACTCTTCTGTCCAGTAAATTGTTTCAACTTGGTTTAAATATGATACGCAAGGCACAGTTCAAAATGTATTGACATTTTCTTTATTAGTACAAGGAGACCGAGCTTTGCTCGGATTGATTAGAACAGTAAATTTATTAGATATTGGTTATTTTGCTAATTTATTAAAGAGCTGTTTTATTAACTGCAGCTACAAAACAGTATTAGTGATAACATTGGTACTTTAAAGGGCTCTAGGGCGGAAACTAGATTTTTCCCAGCCTTGTAACCTACTCCAATCGATTTCTCGTGGGAAAATACCCCATGATAAAAAAATATGTAAAATCTTCGGACGAAAATAAATGTTTGTCCGTACACGCGCTTGTTTTAGATTATAGCGATAATACTACAAAAGATCCGGTAGGGATCATAAACATAAACAAATTAAGTTTTTGCCCCAAAAGTAAACAAAACCATATGTTAATTAATGTTATTAGTATGGGGCTTTTGTTTACTTTCGGGCCAAAAACGTAATTTTTTTATGTTTATGATCCATACCGGGATTATAGGACTTGCAACAAAGAGTATGTAGTGATGGTTGTTGAAATTGTAATATTCTGTCATTGATGTTTATTATAAAACCTAGCGATTCACTGATAGCTTTACTCTATGTTATGATGTCCTGACCTAAGAGTTCACAGCTGTAGGACCTTCTATATAGGAAAAACGTATATGACTCATAGAAAATAAGACTTTCATCGTATTTAGAAAATTTCCATAAAAGCCATACGTAATTTAATATGACTACAAATATCTTGAAAAGTATGTTTATGGCAATTAATTACTGATAGCCTACCCAGTGTTCTATAATATTAAAATCAGATATGAAGTAAATGATGTTTTATTCATATTTTAGTTTGTTACGAGTTGGTCTGAAAAGCATTCATTAATGAAAACTTTAAGACGTATGTTCAGCATTTTATGACTGAGGTAAGACATATATTTTTTTACATTGAATTTTCCTTAAATCTTTTTATGTTATTCAGGCTCATAAATTATTGTTTGAATAAAATATTACCTTACAAAATTGGTTTGTGCCATAATCATTTACCCATTAATTGTTTTGAAAATGTTTTCAGCTTAAGAAAGAGTCACCTGTTACTTTTTTGTTCATACAAGAAAACAAATTCTTATAGTGAAGCTTACAGCAAATGAATAAGCTTGAATACAGAATTAAATTCAGTTCAATTTTCTCTTATGACTCACTCTCCAGGAAAATGTCATTTTAAAGATAAATTTTAGAAAGGCAGTATAGCGTTTACACACCTTCTTATGATTATGACGTTGGAAAGTATTCCAATGGAATGTCTGTTTGTTTAGATACCTACAGAACCTAAAGAAAAAGTAAATAAAAAGAAACAACTAGACAATGTGTGCAATTGCCACTCAAATGTTCTGTGATCCATTGTTGTCTTACTTTCATAAATGAAAGTAAGAAACATAATAATGACGTGTATGCATTGGTACTTTACACAATTACTATAAATATATTTATACAGAAATCGACTTATTTCATGTAATTAATTATTTAGAACTTTTTAATTTGTAAGAAGCTTAATGGTATTGAGGCTACAATATTTCAAATAAACTTTTTGGATTAGTTCTTTATTGAACTTATGACCTGGGTAGGCTAAGAAAACTTTGAATAACGTTTATTGAACTAAGAATTTTGATAGAGGAGTTAGTAAAAGTCATGAAAATGAACTGTTTTTGTGTTGTAAAAATGCATTGATTTTATATATAACCCCTAAACGTTTTAAATAAGTAATTCGGTACTTTTTAAGCTGTAATTTTGTCTTTAGTTGATACTGTCAAGGTTTATTGGACATTATGGATGCAATAGTTTTCAGTAACATTTTTTCTCAGTGTAGCTCCTCAAAAATAGTTAATATATAAAGATATTTTTGAAAACATAATTTTACAGCAGCTTATACCGGCCGGTGGCTTACATGATCACTTATTGTTGAACAGGCCTATGAGAAATTTCCATGTAAATATTAAATGACTTACATAGTACACTTCATAGTACAACGTACATATCCATCATCAAATCTTATTTCAATCTACGCCACTTAAGAAAAATGTCAAAACATTTTCGCTCAGGTTTAAAACGATTTATCCAAGGAATTACTCATTAAGAATGTGTTGTGAGCAGGGGGTCTGGAATAAAAGTAAGACGAATCTTTGCTTTTAGTTTAATGCAGATATTATGCTTCGATTGCTAATTCATGATCAGAGACAAAACTGACAAATTGTTAGAAGACTCTCTTCTGACATTTCTTTAGAGAGTTGCAAAACTGGTCGGGTTTGCAATCCTTGAACGTGCGACACCCATCAGCTTGAGGTAGGGCTGAAAATATATATAATGTATATCAGTTTATACATACTACTTAATATATATACATACATAACATGTATATAATACTAGCCGCTATAGCCGTGCCTTGTAACGAGCTCAGGGTGAAGAAGAACTATTTATATTCCATGAAAATTTAATAAAAATGGTTGTTCTATTCTCCGTTTGATTTAGAACGAAATTCAACTGTATTACTTAACTTGATAACAGTAAATTTTTGTTAATACAGGCATTGAACACTTATTTAGGCTACTTGGGATAGTAAAAAAGTGGAGCCGATGAACTCGTGAAAATGTTGTATGTGATATAAGACCTATATGATTTAATGTTAAAAAGTGATTTGAAAAAATATTGGAAGTCAATTATTGGGTAAAACAAATATTCAAAGTAAGGGTATGGTCATAGAGTATGTTTTATCTATGGTATGGTGGTGTATAAAACATCGTACATTGTTATGACGTACACTTAAAATGACACTTAAAAAATAGCCAAAATGTTTCGATTATGGTTGGGCCTCTTTCCCTGAAGCTCATTAAGTATATTTTACATTGAAAAAAAAAAAATTCGGATACATTAACCACCTTTAGTTTATTAAACATATCCTTGTTGTTCATTAATACACAAATTTGTGAATATTATTGGCAAACAACTTACAAAGCACTGGTTAAAATATAATATACTGTATATCATACAGTAAGTAACTGTCACTCTGTCCGTTCCAAAATTCAAGACCCTCAAATTTAAACTTTTACTATCAACAATAAATAAATAACACTCTTTCTAATGATTTTATAAACAAAAACCAACTGTAAACAGCTTTAAAATATTATCTTTGGTTTAATTTAAACGGCTGTGTAGCTAGACATGTTTAAATTAACTGCAATGTATCCAAAGTATGATCAAGTCTAGTAAAAATACGAATAAATTGTTTTCCAACACAAATAATATAAACATAAACACGCTAGAAACACAATATTAAATGTACACTTCTGCTTGTTGCAGTATCAAAAATCAATGATATGTTTTAAGGTATAATCGAATAACATATTGAGTAGTTTGTCCTGAAACGAAAAGCTATCATAATAGTCCCAAACCTAAAAAAATTGTAACATAACTGTGTTAACAAAAATAAATATGAATCAAATCAAGTCAAATAATTTATTTAGTCAGAATTTTAACAAAACAAGTTGCATTAGCTAAGTCATATAATTTTAGTCATATATATCGTTGAAAATAATTCTCATGAAACTGAGGATGAGAGCCGAGGATGGTACGGCAAAATTGGAAACTTATTTAATCAATGGATATTTCTTCAAAAATTGACTTATTTCTTTAACCAATGACTTATTCCTTAATATTATTACAGTATTTATTTAATTTGTTTAAATCAGCTGTTTGAAATATTGCCAACAAATTTTTATGTATTTCAATCCACATCATAAAATCAACGGTATGGACAATTTGTTATTCAGGATTAGTTTTGCCAGCAGTGTCATTTGGAGGCTTCTGATTGACTATAATGAAGGTTAATGAAATATTAGTTTTGTTCATAAAATAAAATTATAAATGCCTCAAATTCAATTTTATATTTTTTATTATGAAATTAACGTTACACATACACACAGAAATTACTTTGAACACCACTTTTTTGGGTTCAGGGGGACCCAAAACGGATATATATACTCACAACTCAAACTCGAAAATACTTAAGAAAACAATACTTTCTCCAAATGTATGTTTAAAAGTGTGTATGTATGTTTACTTATTCAATGTTTAAAACTATATTAATAATACGTATCGTTATTGATGTATGAAAATGCAACGATATTATTCACCACACATTTAAAAGTGAACACGAATGGATAGTAAGTAAATATTCTAATAATGATTAAAATGTCAAAATCATACATATATATTTATGATATGAATATTGTGGGTAATTAATAAATTAAATATTATAAAAGCTAATAAACATAGTATAAATACCTGACATCACTATCATCATTGCGAACAATGCGAATAAAATGCGTAGTGCGATCATGTCTACAATTGAAGGTTAGAATTGATTGAAAATGTCATGAACCGTGGAAGAATTTATACCTATTGCCTTATTTGAGTATGCCTGTTTTTTCATTGAAGTGTGTTCAGTGTTGCTTCTTTCTATCAGCCAAAAAAAAAAAACAATGTTGCATTGTTTCAGCCAAAACTGCAGTGTTTACTGTCAAGTGGAATTTTCCATTAGGTTAACATGTTTGTTGGTTGTTTATGAGTTTTTCACACTGTTATAACATGCTGCAGCAAAACAGCTGATTTCAATGGGTGCATTGTGGGGCTAATGTAGCCTTTTAGCGAATGGGAATAAGCTATTACCGTAGCTCTCATGGTGACTCCTGGACCCGGGACCGATTTACTTTTTCGTTTTGAGGTTCCTAGAGGGCAAAAACACAATCCGTTCAAATTCAAATATATATATACATATATATATATATGTGTGTGTGTGTGTGTGTGTGTTAGCACGATAACTCGAGTAAAAATGATTCGATATGATTACATTTGATATAAACTCGTAATCCTAAATTTATTCTAACGAGTTTGCGAACCAGCATGATTGGACTATGTGAACGGCTGTTTATGGGGAGTTTTATAGATTGAACATTTCAATTTATTTATCCAAAAAACAAAAAAAAATTGCAATTTCTTTCCAACCCATTTTGTATAGCTTAAAAATACAAATCATTTAGTAAATTGAAGCGTTATTATGCGCCCAATGGTTACGGAGAAAATAAAAAATGTTTAGTTTAAATCTGTTTTTTTATATTTATGGGGAATAAGTAAACTGTTGTAGTTTGCTTGTTTATGAACATATTTTGATCTAATTTGGGATTAACTTAACATTTTACAAAATTAAACACTTTTTTACCCTCCCTGTTGCAGCAAGTACTAGTTAAAATAATTCTATTTAAATCGGAAATAAATGTGATATTTTTAAGGAAAATTTTTAGCGTGAATTCAATTAGGCAAATGGAAATTCGCTAAGTCTACAGGTTTGCTGCGGCGGGGGTATTTTTTTCCTTCTTGGGATTAAAACGAGTAGCTATATAGCATTAACAACTGTATTGATGAACAACTAAAATCAAAATTACACAGTTAAAAATAATGTCAATTGTTCTTTCATTCATGAATAAACATTTCTTTACGATATCGAGTTATTATAAAAAAAACGAGCTAACTATAGTTAAAACCATCAAATCGTTTCTATAAAAAATTGTACGGTTAAACAATTAATTTATCTACCATAACCCCGTCTTTATTTGTACTACGTTAACCATAATGACAGCTGTCATTATGGTTAATGAGGCATTTATGGTTATGGAGGTAACCGTAAAGAACCTTCACTTAAACTGTTTAATTAACGCGTCAATAAAAATACTTTTTGAAGCATAAAATATATACGAGTGTATGCTTAATTCCTAATTAAACAATTCTCGTGTTATTAATAACTATCCTTATATAGTATTTTATTATATTTAGCCATGGTAATTATCTCTTTCCAATTAGGAAAGCTTAGAAAGGTTTTTTCTAATTGATCCACACACCAATCTAGCTACAAAAAGTCTTTGAGCAACAAAATTAATCTAAACCCCAAAATAACGGTTAAAAATTCAAAATCCATTAACTGTAGTCTCTGGCCCCCTACATGGTCTAATCTCTTCCTTACAGAAACTCAAACTTTCTCATACAACAAAATAACCAATAAACATCAAATTCCTAGATTCCAAAGGATTAACACTTCAATTAGCAAACTCCAGACAACCTGAACCACAATTATCCTGAATAACTGGGTCGTAGCGGCTTATGTAAGTGAGTGGATATGTCTTAGGAGTAATTAACAACTCAACCGCAGTGGTGCGCCACCGTCGCAGACCGTCTAGACCGACTCCAGTACATCCAGTTCCAGCTATAGCCATGGTGTCTGTCTTTGTCGTCACGGCGCTCCTAGTAGCCTCCGGTAAGTCTTATCAGTTGACCTTGAGTTGTCCTTGTTTTCCACCTAAACCCCTGGAGGGAGATGAAGATGTGGGTGTTTGAGAGGTTAGAGTGTGGTGGTGGTTTTTACTTGGTTTGATTTCTTTATGTTTACTAACACAACTTTTAATAAAGGTTTAATGGTAAAGGACACGTATGGTACGTAAATAAAATTGATATTAACAATACCACTGGGATAAATAGACATCTCATCTGTGAATCAGCTGTAGCCAATGATTAATCTTTGGTTACTGATATAACAGTACAAAAGTCAATGTTTCATTCGATTAGCACTTAATTCAACAAGTTTCTCATATGTACTACTATCAAAACTGCACTTCTCTAATTCTTGATAATAATTTTCACTTATGCAGGTTATTTTTTTTTCAAACGCAACCCAAATTGGAACTACCGTGAGACACTTAATGACAAAACAAGCCCATACGTTGGTAACCCTGTTTCTTTTTTTACCAATCAGCTGATGTAAATTGTTGTATATTTATCTATGAGGTTTAGTGTTATTGGGAACGTATTGTAAATATAGGACACGATGAGAACATGGTGTTTTCGCAATTTCAAAGGGTATAACTCCTAGAAGAATGTGTTAAAAGTAAATAATTGGTTTTATGTCAAGAAAGTTTGAAATAATGTTTTTATGACCTACACATCAACAAATAGACTGATCAAAGAATTGAGGAAACCGGATCTGTAGAAAACGTAATTTCAAATGTCAAAAAAGATCATATAAGTTATTAAAAATCCAAATAAATTTCAAGAAACCAAATTTGAGAAATGGTGATGATTGCAATTTTATGTTATAATATGTTCCTTGATAGTTTATACAATAAAGTTAAGTCAGTTTATCACTGGTTTGTGTTGACTACAAAAGGTTCCAGTTTCCTATCACCTTAAGGAGTCCGGATTCCTCTCCGTGTCGTTCTGTTCACAGAATAACAATTTAACCACATTTCGTCATCGTCTACACTATCCTTTAAACCTTAATAGGAGTAATTTTATTCAGTGGTGAAGTTCTTCAACAGAATAAGTATGTTTACGAACCCTATGAATTTAGTTATTATGAGGCTTGAAACAAAAAAAATCTGCACGCTTGATGTAGTTCCAATTTGAGGTAAAAATACTATACATTTATGGTATGACAGATTCATAGCACAAAAGTACGCAATGCTAGTAGTCAGTGTGCTGAATTTCAGTCCTTTAGAAAGGATTGGACCCACCAATAGCTTTGCTATACTTTACTCCTATACAGTTAAAACAATTATAATTTGGTCTATGTACCGGTGAGTAGTATACTAGTATTAAACCATCTGCTGCAGATGGTCAAATGAAATCTTTCCTAATAATTACAATTCACTTATCTTTTGTTAAAAAGTTGGTTATACAAAAATAGGTATTTTGCATCAGCACACTGTTTTAATTCATCTGAATTCATTTTCCTTCTCACAACTAGCTGCAGCCCAAGAAAGTGTGGTCGATGTATGCTACAGTTAATTAAAATAATAGATTGAAATGCACATTTAACGACGCTTGATGCACATAGTCGACGCTTTTGCATCAATACAGTATTTGTTTGTGATAACCACTTCCAACATTGCCAAATATTTTGTTGTCAAAGCAAACTAACAATTATTTTACCCTCGTTTAAGAATCAGATTGTTTTGACGGCCTTCTATTGGCACCTAAGGATTGTTTACAGATCTAACCTCTCTTATTACCCAGAATGCCCTATAATGTCCACAATACCCACAATGCCCTCTAATGTCACGTGACATTTATGTACTGTATCGGACAACGGTCAAGTAGTTGACCTTGCTGTAACCTTCCTGAATGCCTGATTCTTTGACCTTTAAGTATGCTGTAATTACTAGCGTTTCAAATCTAACAGATTTATCTTGACCGTTAAAATTGCCTAACTACTTCTTGGAGTAAATGTAAACATTTATAGAGAAGGAAACATAACAAATCACTTTTACACTTCTAATTGACTGTATAATGTTTTCAACAGTCAGTAATTAATATTCTCTGTTGTAAGATAAATATACAAAGTAACGGTTTATTATCAAAAGTTATCTCTATCATGTTGCATTTACTGCTTATTCAATTAAAGCACAACATGCACCACCGTTTTATTTTTAGGTACAGTATAACATTTATTTCACACTACTACACATAATGTTTGGTGTAAATTTATTATTATCTTCCTAAACGATACAAATCTAATTTGTTTATCGTTCTATTTTTCGTTTGATAAGTTTCAATTGATTTTAAAATCAATGATGATATCACTAAAACGAACGTATGAGATATGAAAAAAAACTATTAATTTATTGTTATTACAAAAACTATTTAAGCATTTCGTATTGCAAACAAACATTTTCTCATGATGAGAGTCTCAGGGTCATTTAATTTCAGCAAATATTTATTAAATCTAATCCGTAATAGTGTAGTGACCGTAATACACAAACAGTTGACATAAACCATTTTTCATCACCCAGTATTCAAAAGTAAAGTATCGAAAATAGCCCATTTCCATACAGCTGAGATCTTCGAAAATCGTTAATTACACCAAAAACAAATAGTGATCAGCTGACTTTTTCTGACATAAACATTACTTTCGCTACACAAACAATACTTTGCCATCAACAAAGTTACAACTGAAGTTCCCGGTTATAAATAACCATTGTGATTTATGTATTTGTTTTGCAGTTTTTGATATTCAATCAGCTGAATTTTACACTAAAATTAATGTATAGCCGTATTGTTATGTGTTTAGATTAGAAATATCAGATGATTTTTTTAAAGTTTGATGAAGTCGTTTCTTTTTATCGTGATATAAAGTATCGTCCAAAAATCGTCACGAAAGGCCTATTTCGTAGCGAGAAAGTGTTTTACATGAGAGTCTATGTGAAATATACTATTAAAATGTTACTGTCAGTTAATTGGACTCTCTAATACGAAAATGAGATTTTTTTTTGACGATACAGGCTTCGTTAAACTACAGGGTGTTATGAGTTTGTATAGTGTAAGTAAGACGATATGACTTATTCAATATGATTGATCGTTTTGTTTACGGAAGGTGAAGATAACAGGTGTCAGATTGTAAAAGACCTTCATCATGAATGAAACTGATAAAATCGGATATCATAGAGACGTTAGCAACTCTGCCAAGGCTAGTTCATATTAGGGCTTAAACTATTTTACATTTTAACTGGGAATAGGGAAAAATTATCATTGCATGGTAACTGTTACCAACTGTATGTATTTCAACAAATCTGTGATCAAAATTATGTATGATATAGATGGGCCGGCTCTCACTTATCTTCCATTAGAGAGAGCATAGTTCTTTGTGCCAAACATAGATTGTGATAGTTTACAAAAATAGTTCCGTATTTTGTTGATACTGAGTTAGCTTACGTTCCATAAAAGGTGCTATAGCTTACGATAGGTCCTATCAGTTTGACAGGCCATGCTGCAGCACTGGCAGCGCAACACTACGTCACAGTGGTGGATAGATGTACTAAAATCTTACCATTAAAATCACACAAACAGCCAGCTTGTTTATTTACCTAAAACATATGGGAATGGCGATGACAATGAATTTGTCAATGAAATCTATCCACTAGTGTGACGTCATGGATCCTGTAGCGTGGTCTGTTTTTATAGTGTGGTTTGACCCGGTAAAAAAGTTCACAAAGTCGATAGAAAGAATTAAATTTACATGAGCACAATCTGCCAGTGGCTCACAGAAAAAGAAGAAGTTTTAGAAAAAAACAAGTTTTAGTCCGAAAGAAATTGACGATTTTCATACATTACAGTGTTTGAATAATATTTTTCGCATATTAAGTTTGGGAAAATATATAAGATATCAACTCTTATGTGTTGCAAGATTGGTAAGTAATTTGTAATGTTGGGTAATCGCAAATAGTGAGTTTGAGTTGAAAATCGATGATTGTTTAGATCTCAGTTTTTAATGGACTTTTACGAACATTGAAGTAATTTATTCAGTTTTTCTTATACAGTTCAGGTATAGTAAAGTAACATTTAAGGCAACAACTGTCAGTTTAGTCCGCTACATTGTCGAGTGACCGGGAAAGGTGTGGGGGTGTTACGCAAGTAAATGAGGTGACCGCCGCCGTTGCTGCTAAATTCTATACCTCTTGGCTAATCTTGTCCACTTCACTTTCATATCGCCATATCAACTCTTTCTTACTTGGGCACCTCAAGGTCTTGTAAGCTTAATTGCTGAGCTGGTTGGTCATTTGAAAGGTTTAAAAGGGTTGCATTATATTAAATTAGTTTTCAATCATAAATTATTTTATTGCAACAATTAATCACTGATTCAATAGTATAATGAAATTTCTGTCAAAGTTTTGAATAGTAATCACATACAGCCTTCAGGTAAGTGAGACCAAGAACATGGCAAGACTAGTATGGATAATGGACAGCTTCAGAAAACAAACTAGCTGAAAACATTATTGTTAGCATAATCAATTATGATGGGAATGCCACCTAGGTATTTTAAGTTAACCCAAATATGGATGAGGAATGAATGTAGAATGAAATGTGATGATCCTTGTAGCTTTGTTACTGACCAAGATCAGCTGTTTCATTAGCCAGGATCATTTATTTAAAGCCCAATGATAAGGGACAGCTGGGTCCAGATTCTAACTGCCAAAAAGCTACTGACCTTTCTCAGAATTGATACGGCAAACTTTTAACTGTTGGTCTAGTACTACAACCTCTCAGCTGTTAGGGTAGCCGGCCAACAATAGGATAGATATAATCCACAACAAAAATTATTTATGCAAAATAAAAATCTGATAACTCAGAATATGACTTTTTTGTTTGCAGTTGTATAGCTTTTTGTAGCCATAATTGAGGCTGTAGGTGCTAAGACGAGATGAGCCCTATAGATGAGATTTGCTAGTTCGCTTCCTTATATCTTTCAGTATAATCTTTGATCAC